TGGGAGTGTGTGTGTGTGTCACTCTCCTGTGGAGTGGAGAGGGCAGAGAGCTGTAATCACTCTCACACACACCTGTTCTGACTGGAGGCGGTCTGCGCCGCGGCTGATAGGATGAGAGCGCAGGGGGAGAGATGTAGCAGCGCTCATGATAAACGAGTATGTAGGAGGTCATTAAGCAGAGCAGCGAGAGGAGGAGGAGAGAGAGGGAGGCAGGGAGATGGGAGAGAGAAGGACAAACACAGTGAAGATAATTAATTTGGAGTTTCATTAGCAGGAGCTTGCATGCCTAGATGACTGCATGGGTGCAGCGGCAGGCAAACGCACACGCGCATGCAGTCACGCAGTCCTGAGGAACTAAGGTGTGCATGAGAGAACATTTAAAGGAGAATGTTTGCTGAACTCTCCTGCTTCTTAGATGTTTCTTGGATCAGACGTAGATTCAAGTCTTCCCTTGAGGAAGAGATCAGAAGAGATGTCAACAATACATAATATTATCAATAATTTAATTAAGTATAAGAATATAATTATAACATTGGGAATTATATATATATATATATACACACACACCACTTTTTTTAATAATTAATGAATCCATATTGGAGACATGTTTTTGGTAAAAACTATAAAATATTATAAGAAATAGAATTACTAATATTAGGAACTAACATTGGGGCTTACTATTAGATAGATAGATAGATTGTTTAGATCAATATTGTTATATTGATATAATATTCATTTTACACTCTTACATGCATTGAGTATAGAGCTATAAAATAGTATGTTTTTCATTTGTAATATGAATATTATAATTAATATATACAGGAAACATTTCTTATTGAAATCTCTGACTTGTATAATGTATATTTATTGCTGTGTACTCTTACTGTATGTCAGCAATTGTCTCATTTGTTTCTTCTTTATTTTCTTAGTAATTTTAGGAGAAGCATCTGGGACAAAGTTGAATATTAAATGAAATATAACTTAAATGAAACCTCCTGTCTATGAAAGATGAGCTCCTGAACAGTAAACGCACACAATTACAGTTCACCAACATTATGTACAAGTTCACATAATATATTGTATAACACACACCCACAGTATCTTATCCACAATCAGGTACGAGATCAACACACACATTTCAAACTCAACAAACAAGCAAAACGTCGAGGTTGATGTGGCACTCGCTGGTTTTAAGAGGGTGATGACTGAGATGTTTATCAGCCCTTAGCTGGCCCTCTTCAACATGATGTTACATAAACAGTGAGAAAATAGCACAACATCCAGCCATTAAGAGAGAGAGAGAGAGACTGAGACTAAAGATGATGGGTGAGGAGTGATTGCTGGTGGAGGAGAGGAAGAATGAGGAGTTTGCTGTGACAATGATAAAACACAGGCATGATCCACATGCTAAAATCTGTTGTAGAGGTCATCCCATTGTTGTCAGGTTAATCAGAGGGTGGGATGGTCAGGCTGAGCCCCTCTCTCTCTCGCTCTCTCTCTCTCTCTCTCTCTCTCTCTCTGATCATTGATGGCATCTGGCCGGCCGGTCTGGCAGGGTGACACCGCACCAGTGCCACACCTTCCTCTGAAGCCTCCAGTGGCTCCGCTGTGCCACCCTCTCCTGGCACTGAACCCGCGGGTGTCGGAGGTGAACAGAGAGGCGTGAGGAGGAAACAATCAGTCGACTTGTGCTATATTACTGCTTCTATGATGCATTTCAGTGGAATTGTTTATACAGTATTGAATTATTTTTATATTCATGGAGTAGACTTATTTGATGAGTTTTTTTTATTAAGATGCAACTTGGTCTTCCATGTTCAGTATTGTGATGGTAATACCATGGTATATTTGTACTGTGTAATAACACCAAATACACTCAGAAATTTGGTATTTGTACGTTTTGTGTGTGTGTGTGTTATCATACAGCAGTGACACATTCAATCAATCAAAAGTGACAAATATGGTTATAATGTTACAAAAGATTTCTATTTCATATAAATGCTGTTTTTACGAACTTTTTATTCATCAAAGAATTCTGATGCTTCCATAAAAATATTAAGCAACTGGATTCAACATGGATAGTCAGACATATTTCTTGAGCAGCAAAGCAGCATATTAGAATGATTTCTGAGGGATCATGTGACACTGAATACTGGAGTAATGGCTAAATTCAAATTAGAGACGACTTTAAAAAAAAAATAAAAAAATTCCGGTACTTTTGAATAGTAGTGTACATAGGAATACCATATTAATTCCATGGTTTTACCATTTTTATTCCTTTATTTTTGACAAAAGATAAAATTGATACACTAACATCTTAAATTTTACATTATGTGCCTACATATTGATTTTGATCTTTAATCAATACTTAGATTACATATTGAAATCTCCTTTTTTATTACATATTTGGCTACTTGCTGTATGTCACTCCGCAGAATACTTCTCAAAGGTATTTTGGCTTCGTCCAACCTGTAAAGTCTGTTAGAACCTGTTAAAAGAAGCAGTATAAATCGTTTGGATGTTTGTTGTAGTTTGAACTCTGGCTGCTGCGATTGTTTCGTTTTACGGCTTAGCACTGTTTTGGTGCAACGAATCTGACTTCACCTCCCTGTCTTCCCTTTCCCGTTCGTTCTTCCAGTGGCGCTTTACAACTGTAGGCGGCAGGTCTCAACACATGGCCGTGACCTTTTTATTTTTCTAACTCCCTCCCTACCTCCTCCTCTGGCCGTCCGTCTCTCGGTTTTCCTCCTGTGAGAGTCGGGGAGGCTGCATCATAGCCTGTGGTTAATGAGTGCAATGGGAGAAGTGAACTGAGGGCAGTTTTTGTATCTCAGAGTCCCAGGCCCGGCCTCTCTGCCTCCAGATCCAGTATCACACGTCCTCTCGGGTCAGGCCTCCTGCGGCCCCGCAAACGCTGTTTGGCTCCCAGCAATGTGGCTTCAATTTCCTCAATTTTGAAATGGTTATAGCCCCTCTGTTTCCTTCAGCAGGCAGGGTCTTTGTGTTGTTTTTTCTCTCTCGTTCGTTCTCCTTTCCTGCTCATTTTGATCACTCTGTACTTTTAATCACCGCTCGGGCCCCCCTGCGTTGTAAGAGTGTAAAGAATTTGTTATGAGTAACCTTTGACCTCTGGCCTGTAGGAACACAGTTTAAAGGCTGCTCGGTAGAAGAGCTCACTGGCAAAAAATACAAACAGTGAAATGCAGCCACCATAAATTTCTTTTCTTTTTTTTAACTCTCTGGCAGCTCTTTTCTTGTTTTAAGCTCTCATAAGAATACCTTTCATAGACGGATCATTGTATTTAAAGTTCCTTTTCAACATTAAAGTCGCGCGCCAGGTGAACGTTAACGACAGTCTTTGCCCAAACCCGAGGCTTATGCATATGCTACGTGCCCAGTTTCAACTGAACCTCTTTTCTTTCATGTAATCCTACGGGTGTGTGAGCTAAAGTGTTCCAGCGCTCAGACACAGAGAGCTTGTGTAGTAAAAAATCCCGCTTGCTGAAAAATTAGTCCCCTGACAGTGTGAATTATGGGGCTGAAATAGAGCTCTTTATTAATGTAGTCCAGGATTCACATCAGCGGAGGTCTCAGAAATTATGCCACGCCGTGGGTCTGGTCTCACAGGAGGTTTTGCATATTAGACTGAGTACACATTCTAAAGAACAAGTTATTAATGGAGCTAGAAACTTGGTCTGCAGAAGATTCAAACAGACAAATGGTGGTCTTGCAGAATCAGAAAACACTACGCATACAGTATGTTGCATATAAAAATGAGACGGTGACATTTTTGGTTACACTTTATTTTAAGGTGTCCTTGTTATACATCTTACATGTACTTACTATTATAATAACAGTAAATTATGCACAATTACATGCAAGTAACCCTAAGCCTAACTCTAACTCTAACCATATAGTAAATACATGTAGTTAATTAATATTACTCTACTTAAATGTATAATTACACTGTAACAAGGACACCTTAAAATAAAGTGTAACCACATTCTCAAATTAATCTTTTCTACAGCAGTGCTATTTTCTTCTTGCTTGTCTTTTAGCATAAGCATATGGTAATGGGGATAATAATATAGTAAGAGAAGCTCAGAATAAGAAGATATGTAAACGCATGACTGTCTGCTCTCTCTTGCTAAATGAAATCCATAGTGTGTGTTTTGTATTGATAGACTATAGTTCTATTCTAAGAAAAAGCTGGAATGTGTGTCCCGGAATTCTTCACCACCCTTGTGCATAGTGTGTGAAGAATTTAAGAGTTCTTTCTCTTCGTTAAGAGCCCCACGTCCTGTCTGTCAATGACTGTGTGTTTTTGTAAGAGCATGGCATGTTTTCTTTTTCTCGCTGCTTGCCAGAAACTACACGCTCTGGTACATGGAGGGGAAGGAAAAGCGCACTTGTGTTTAGTCTACATAGCACTTAAGTCACTTTGTAGGGAGATTACTTTTTTCCCCCATTCTAATCTGCGGGTAGGATTTGTGATGTCACCATCCATCAGTGTTCTTTTGTTAAATCATTAAGAGTAAGGATGTGGAAAATTTTGCAAGTTGGCTTGCACAAAACATTCGCACAGTGTTTTATTTGTCTGTTGGCTTTTTACGTCATTCTCCTCTGGTTTTTCTTCTTTCTCTGTTCTTCTTTGTTGGTAGACATTTTTAGGTTGGCACAACGGTGTCCCCCAATGTTGTTGTCTTCCCCCCCCCCCCCCCCCCCAACGGGGGGGGGGGGGGGGGTGGTTT